AAAGGATGGGAAGGTTAAACCTACCCATGCAGGTATTTACACTATTCTATCTAAAAACTCATAACATGCTAACTCTTGTGTCCTTAAAATAGGTTGTGGATTTCACATTTGTTCTGATATGCAGTGCCTAAAAAGAAGTAAGGATGTAGAGCACGGGAAGTTAAACTTGATCATGGGGAATAGGAAAGTTTCACTTGTCACCAAGATTGGAGTTCACTCTTTATTTCTTAGTAGTGGGTTAGAAATAGATTTGAATAAATGTTGTTACTCATCTGATATGGCGAGAAATATTATTTCCTTTCATAGTTTGTACAAACAAGGTTTTAGTTTTTCATTTGACAATGAAATTGGTGCTATTAATTCTTTTTATAATGGTGTATTTTATTTTAAAGCATTGCCTTACAAAGGTGTATATGAAACTATGATGGTTGTAGAAAACTTAGGAAATAATGTGTTACATATTGATTCTTCCAATAGTTTGGATAAGGCATCCTTGTGGCATTGTCGTCTTGTACATGTCAACAAGAAGCGCATAGGCCAACCCCAAAAGGCTGGATGTTTGGAGTCATTCGACTTAAGGTCGGATGACACTTGCAAATCTTGTTTACTTGGAAAAATGACTAAGTCACCCGTCACTGGTACTTGTGAGAGGGTGTGAGGGTTTGTTAATTCTCATACACACCAATGTGTATGGGCCCTTCAGAACCACCACAAGGGATGCTAACCGCTTTTATAGGACTTTTGCTGATGATTACAATAGATATGGCTATGTCTACTTAATCAAGCATAAGTCGAAAACCTTTGATAGGCTCAAATAGTTTAAACAAGAAGTGGAGAATCAGCTGGGCAGGAAGATAAAGATTCTCTGATCCTATCGGGGTGGTGAGTATCTTAATATTGAGTTCCTTAACTATCTTAAGGAATGTGGAATTGTGTCACAATTGACGCCACCTATGACACACAACTTAATGGTGTGGCTGAGAGACGCAATCAAACCTTTTTGGACATGGTTTGTTCCATGATGAGTTGAGCTTCCTTACCTATCTCATTATGGGGGTATGCGTTAGAGATTTCCGCCCATATCCTTAATCTAGTCCCAACTAAGAAGGTTGCTAAAACACCTCACGAGATGTGGATAAGGAAAGTTCCCTCGTTAGCACACATCAAGGTTTGGGGTTGCGAGGCTTTCGTGATATGCGAGACTCACGAAAAGCACGAACCTCACAGTGAACGTTGTATCTTCATCGGTTACCTGCAGGAGTCCTTGGATATCTCTTCTACAAATCGAGTGACAATGTTGTCTTCGTTGCGAGTAGAGCAGTCCTTTGTGAGAGAGAGCTGATATGCCAAGGGGTTAGTGGGAGGCTATTGACCTTGAAGAGCTTCAAGAGTCAAGTGGTGAAGTAACCTCAAACACTAGCACTCAACCTGAGGAGGAAACTTCTATTGAGCCGATTGAAGAGTCCGTACGTCTGAGGCGTTCCAGTAGAGTTAGAGTTCCACTTGAGTTGTATGGTTTCCATATTACTACAGAAGGTGATACATTTATCACTTATAGAACACTGGTAAATTTGGATGAACCTAACAATTAGAAGGAAGCCATGACAGGCCCTGAGTATACTAAATGGAAAGAGGCGGTGGACAGCGAGATTCAGTCCATGTATGAAAATCAAGTTTGGAACTTGGTTGACAATGTACGGGGTCGTAAGACCGTCGGGTGCAAATAGATCTACAAGAAGAAGACCAACATGGATGGGAAGGTACACACATATAAGACGCGACTGGTTGCGAAGGACTTCACTCAAACTCCGGGAGTTTACTATGATGAGACCTTCTCGCCAGTAGCAAAGATTAAGTCTATTAGGGTTATGCTAGCCATAACTGCATTTCATGATTATGAAATTTGGCAAATGGATGTTAAAACTGCTTTCCTTAATGGAAAGTTGGCTGAGGATGTTTACATGAGTCAGTCAGAGGGTTTTGTTAATGCAAAGTACCCTAACAGAGTGTGTAAGCTTGAGAAATCAATTTATGGATTGAAATAAGCATCTCGTAGATGGAATCTTTGTTTCGATGAGAAAGTCAAAGAGTTTGGTTTTTTGAGAAGTGAGGATGAGTCCTGTGTATATGTCAAGGCTAGTGGGAGTACAGTTAGCTTTCTGGTGTTGTATGTGGATGACATTCTTCTCATAGGAAATGACATCCCAACCTTGTAGGAGGTTAAGTCCTGGCTAGAGAAGTGTTTCGCTATGAAGGACCTCAAAGAAGCGGCCTATATTCTTGGGATAAGGATATTGAAAGGCAGGAGTAAGATACTAATTGGACTTAGTCAAAGTACCTATTTGGAAAAGGTATAACATGTTGATTACAAGAAAGGTGACTTACCAATGCAGAGCAATGCCAAACTGAGTAAGACTCAGAGTCCGAGTACGGAGGCTGGGGTAGCTGAGACGAGTCGAATACCATAGGCTTCTGCTGTTGGCTCGATCATGTATGCTATGACTTGTAGTCGACCTGATATGACCTTTTCTTTGAGCATGATCATTAGATATCAAGGGAATCCTGGTAAGGCTCACTAGATTGCGGTAAAGAACATTCACAAGTACCTGCGGAGGACTAAGGACTGGGTCCTTACTCTCGGTGGGAGTGATGACTTGAGAGTGGTGGGGTATAGTGACACCAGCTTTCAGACCAACATAGATAATTTCCGCTCGCAGTCGGGCTGAGTATTTACCGTTAATGGAGGATCAATCACTTGTAAAAGTTCCTAGCAGGATACTATAGATGATTCAACATGCGAATCAGAGTACATTGCAGCAAGCGAAGCGGCAAAGGAGGCGATATCGTTGAAGAACTTCATCGGAGACCTTGGAGTTGTACCAGCTATAAAAGATCCTATGGAGATTTTCTGTGACAGCGAGAGTGAAGTTGCCTTAGCCAAAGGAACCAATGGATCATGGAAGATCTAGTCACATCGACATAAAATATCACTTCATAAGACATCAGATAGAAGAAGGACTCCTTGTCGCAAAGAGGGTATCGTCAGAGGAGAACCTGGTAGATCCCATCACGAAGGGACTGAGTAGCGTTAAGCATTTACAGCATGCGAGGCGCATCGGGCTGAAGGACGATATTAGTTTTAATGATTACATAGTTTTGAAACTTGTAATAGTTGAAATGTAATTGACATTTGATGATTAAATAAAAGGTGATTTTTATTTACAAGTAAAGTTACTATCTTGTGTGAATCATTAATATTGTTTCACTTTGCATGTTTTGACTTCCAGAATAATTAAAATTATTCAAAATATCCACAGTCAATCATACGTTAGAAGTAGGTATTGAGGCAAGACTGTCATGAATTTGGCTTGTAGATGTCTGAATTGTTTAGACATAGCAAACGATTGCTACAACATTAATGAGTGCTCATAAGGTCTGAGTATTAGATTAAACCCACGCTCACTTGTATCATTTCATGTAATTTATCTCGAGTGATCGTGAGACGATAATATCATATAAGTCTTCAAACCAAGAGATATGAGTTGTTGACTATGAGTTGGTTGTGCATTGATAGTGTGAAACTGCATCAGTAACTTGATGCTATAAAACGTGTTGTTGTGTACAATTTAACAAGTAGATAGTACAAGCATATGAGTCAAAGTTTATTTGTTCCTTTTAGTCCTTGGAGGATTAAAAGCAATATCTTGGGTACCTCAATGATTTTGTTTTGACTTATGTTTCGGGTCCGGTCAGAACTCAATTGATGTGTTCGATTAAGTTCTATGTCAAACAAATCAGAAATTGGGAAACAAATGTTGGACAATAAGAATGACGATGTTCCATGTATTTGTCTGGCTGGTATCTTGAGAACAGAGGATTATATGATCCTTTATCTAAAATGACATGTCACAGTTCGACAAAGGCTTTTAAGAGCTACGATTTCTAGTCGGTTCCTAAAGTCGTACTTACAACTATAGTTATTAGACTTATCCAAGTGGGAGACTGTTGGATAATTTTTATAAGTCCATAACTATATTTGGTATGTACTTTACCCGAAAGTAGCATGGTCCATTTGGGTTGCATTTTACCAGAACAATTTGAAAGGATGGACTTTTGAGAAGAGGTTACATATGATTTATTAATATATTATCAGTTCTAATATATTAATATGAAATCATATTATTTAATTCATATTGATCAAGAATTAATTTGGAATTAATTTAGTGATCAAAAGAGACTAATTTACATTAAAGGGATTGATTTGGTAAATAAATGATTCTTATAGTGTGGGCTTATGGTTATTTAGGATGGGCTAAAGCAATATGGTAGTTCATGGATAGTCCATGGAGGTTTAACCCATGGATCCTAAGTAAGATGAAAAGTCATTCACATTAGGGTTTACATGGGTGTAATCCTAATCCTTGCCACACTATAAAAGGAGACCCTTAGCTCTTGAAATCGGCACCTTGTGATATTTGTAAGAGCATAGCCAATTTTTGGAGTGCAAGATAATCTCTCGCAAGTCCTCCATTGTTGGTGGTGTTTTGTGAAGCATTTGAGGCATCACATTTGGGGTGCTAGGCTATTAAAGGTCTAAGGAATCAAGCTACAAGAAAAAGGTATGTCATCTAACTAGTTTTTGTTATACAAGTACCCATGTTTTGTATGCTAGTTAGGGTAATGATTTGGAAAATAAAATTGCATGTGTAATTAGAGAAAACATCGATCCAAAGCATTTAGGGTTGTACATGCACATTAAGGTTGTTAGATTGCTCAATACCCATCACATACAACCTATAAACTTCCTAGGGTTTACCCTTTTAGTCACTTAACTTTTTAAGTGGCTTTATGAGGGAACGAACTTTATTTTATCAGGTCAATTAAGTCATTATTTCATTTATGAAAGGGCCAATCGGTCATATTTATGCCATATGTGTTACTTAAATCCCTTGGCTTGCGGATTGTGTATGCCATGTCATTTAAAAAATAGCTTTACTTAAATGAGATCTTTTCTCGTAGACTGTTCACCACTTCCATCTCTTTCGATAAACCCTTACTTGCTTTTGTATCCTCAAACCTCAAACATGGATCCCATATTCATCCAAGTAGATGTGCATTTCCATGGAATCTTTGCAACATACCCCATAAGCTACACTAGGGGGATTAATCAGAGGTTGTTGGACATCGATTTCACAGGCATGGACAAGAATGGGTGTTATGAGTTTATCGAAAGGTTCACTGGAGAAAAGTATGAGAAGCTCTATTACTGGTAACCAAATGTTAATTTTCCGAAAGGTTTGACCTTAATTTCCAATGAGATGGATTATGTCGATTTTATAGCAATAGCTTATGAATGCGGTGTTATACTCCCTATCTATGTAGACCATTTTGGTAATAGTAACATACAAGAATGGTTGGAAGAACACAAAGAAGAGTTTGTTGATAACATAGTGGAAGAAGTGATTGATGGTGTAGGACTAATTAAAGAAATTGAGACATGTCACTTGGATGAGGATGAGGATGACCATGGGGCTGAGGATGTGGATGTTGATGATGATGAGGATGGCCATAGCAACCTTGAGTTTTTCAAAAAGGATAATGGCCCTGATGTCGACATGGGTGAAAAGGAAACTTTGGTTGACCCTTTGGAAGAAGCCAAGGATGACAATGAAAATGTTTAACCTGAGTTGCCAAATATTTTCAATGAAAATCTGCATTGGAAGGAGCAGGAACCTATGTTAGGTATGGGGTTTGAGAGTCCTAAGCAATTGAAACACATGCTTTGTAACTATGATGTTGCAAATGATTATCAATTATGTTTTGTGAAAAATGATAGTAGACGGTTGCTAGCCAAATGGTGCGATGAAAAATGTACATTTAGGGTTTGCGGTTCATGGATGAGTGATGATAAGTCTTTCCAAACCAAGTCTCTTATTAGTGACAATAATTGTTCAAAGAATTTAAAATTTGGATCAATTGTCATGTATAGATGGATAGGTACCCACTTTACCCAGCAATGTTTACCAATCAAAAGATGAGTGTGAGATTACTTAGAGAGGAGGTGAGAACCACTTTTGGCATTGTTGTGAGTATGAGTTAGTGTAAGAGAGCCAATAAGTATGAATTGAGTCTAGTTGAAGGCATGCTTGCAGAAAATTAGTATAGAATATGGTCTTACGGTGAGGAGATTAAAAGATCAAATCCTAGATTCACTGTTAAAATTTATGTTGATGCAATGGCTGATGGTGAGAACTACTTCAGCAAGATTTACATATGCTTTGCTGCAATCGAACAAGGATGGAGGGGAGGGAGTAGATGGATCATTAACTTGGATGGTTGTAACCTGAAAAGTTTTTGCCATTGTGAGTTACTTTGTGTTGTTGGTAAGGATGCTAACAATGGAATATTCCCAATTGCTTGGGCAGTTGTATGTGTGGAAAACAAGGAGAATTGGAAATGGTTCATTAAAAATCTTTCAGAAGATTTGTAGTGTTGGAATGAAGGAAGTGGTTAGGTTTTAATTTTTGGTCAACACAAGGTATGTTTGTATAATATTGAGCATAGTATAATATATATTTACATTTCTAACTTCACCTATTACTAGTATATATGCAGGGTTTCATTGAGGCGGTCAAAGAAGTATTCCCAACAGTAGAACATAAGCAGTGTGCTAGGCATATATATATATATATATATATATATATATATATATATATATATGTATATATACATATATGCTAATTTTAGAAAGAAGTTTAGTGGAACCAAGTTTAAATAATTGTTTTGGAGAGCAAGCAGGGCAACAACTAAAACACATTTTAACATATTCATGAAAGAGATGGAAAACTTGAATCCTGAAGTCGTGAAGCATCTTGTGGATAAATATCCAAATACTTGCTCTCTAGCTTGTTTTGGAGTTCACAATTCATTGTGTGAAGCTGTGGAGAATGGCTTTTTAGAGTGCTTTAATAGTGTGATTTTGGATGGTAGGAAGAAACCTATTATCAGCATGTTAGACGATAATCATATATATATATATATATATATGTGTGTGTGTGTGTGTGTGTGTGTGTGTGATGCAATGGATGATGACCATGAAGCTAATAGGTCAAGGATGGAATCATTATTCTGTTTATCCAAAAATTAGAACAAGATTGAATATTCTCCAAAATGAGTAAAGGTTTGCACACTTATTTATTCATACATACCTACCTCTCTCAACTCTAAACATTTTCATTATGTTATGTAGGCATTGGCAGGTTGTGTCTTGTCGGGGTATGAAGTTTGAAACAAGAAAAATGGATGACTCGTACATTGTTGATGTCACAAAAAAGGAATTCAGTTGCAGGTTATGGAAACTAAATGGGTATGGATGTGTTCATTCAATAGCTACATTAGCGTATTTAAACATAACACCTGATGGACCATATGTAGACCCATTGTACCTGAGAGCCTTCTTCCATAATACCAAAAACCAGTCTATTAGTGGCATGAATGGGATGAACATGTGGCCTTCAACAAACTTTATACCTCCATTGCCTCCGTTAAAAAGAAGAATATCAGGCAGGCCAACAATGAAAAGAAAAGGGATGCTTCTGAAAGATCTGGAAAACATACGGTTTCAAAGGCAAGGAAAAAGGTTTCTTGTGGCATATGCAAACAGAAAGGGCACAAGAAGACCACTTGCACACAAGTCCCAAGGCCTTCTAAAACTAATTTCACAAAGAAACCAAAGATAATGCAAACGTAAGAGTTGGTGAATATTCAAGTGGTGGAGAAGATGTTGTTATGGGTGATGCAGTTGAGCCACAAGCTAATGAAGTTATGAGGGTAAACAAATGTGAGCAAGTGGCGAGGTTTAATGAAACTGAGGAACTGGGCAAGGTTAATCAAGTTATAGGCAACCACAAATCTGGGTATCACATGCCTGATGTATTAGATTCTTCTTTTTTGTCTCATGTCCCACACACAAACATTGGGGTTCATGTTTTAATGGTTTAAAAAGTTTGGCTTTTTCACATGGTCATAAGAACATCAACACATAATATGGGCATTACTTCATGACACATGCACGTTTAGATTTATAAGAAGAAGATTTTAAGTGAACCAACATTTGATTCATGGGTTTCTGTTACATCTTTACATCTATTACACAAGTTAAAACATGATTTCTACCTGCATCTTACTATGTACGACTACCATCACCTATGATTACCATCAAAAAACTGAACATGACAACAACATGATCACAAAAACACCAAGCACGACCACCAAATACTACCACCAGAAAACAAAAGACAAGGAACAAAATACCTTACTAATACGGAGAATAAACCAGATGCACATCAAAACAAAATAGAAACCAAGGATAGAAATGGTGTAACCTCAAGTTCTTCTGTCATTTTAAGAACTTATAGGATAACACCCCCACAATAGCAACAACAAAAACCATAAGAATCCATTTCACTTTTTTGCATTTGTTTTTACCGAAGACGATGTTGACGTATGATGCTTGTAGTGAGCACAAATGCTACTTCAAATCAGCAACCATGTTAGATAGATCGAGTTAAACTACCCTAACATCATCGACTGAATGGTTTAGGGCGTCCAAGTCTCTAGTGAAGCTGCGTCGTAGTTCACGAAGGTCGTTTGCAATCTCTTCCTTCACAAGTGACACCTCCAACTGTGTTTGCAACATATTGATCGCCATGTCTTCATTGGTGACTCTGTTGGAGACATTTTTAGCCATGTGTCGACTATAGTTGGGTGACCAACTATAGTCGGAGATGATCGTGAAGGTATGTTTTTTGTGATTGGTTTTGAAGTTTGAGGTGTAGTTAGGGTAACCAAGTTTCGAATTGTCATTTTTTGGTACAATATTCAACTATTATACGGAGGCGCGAGGAACAGTGTGAACGTGGGCGCTACGTTTCACATTCCAAAACAACATTGTTTGGGTCCAAGATGTAAGTACAATTTCGTCATATTATCGATGACATGTCAAATTTAGATGATGTGGTATGGTTACCGGGTATAATAAGTAAAAGGAACTACATTGCTAAGTTGCAACACACTTTCTTCCCTCGTAAACTCACTTAAAAAGTTAAGTGACTAAAATGGTAAACCTGAGAAAGTTCCTAAGTCGTATGTGTTATTGTCTTTTGTACCAATCCCTTTTATTAAAATCTTTTTAAAATACTTTAATATATAATTAAGATCCTAAAGCTTGGTTGTATAGATAATGGGAAAGGAATTATTTTGTATCAGAATTTAAAAATATTATAAAAAAATTCGTAACTTTATTTATTTATTTTTATTTAAAAAAAAAAAAAAAAAAAAAAAAAAAAAAAAAAAAAAGGAAGGTCACCGTAACCAATTAGAATTTAACAGTTTATAACACAACTTTATAAATCATCCAAACCTAATCTTTAGTCCCTGATTCGTTCAAATATAACGTCAATAATGTATTATATATATCTTCAACTTTATATCTCGACATCAAAATAGTCAAATTTGATGTACGGCTGAGTACTGCAATATTAAAAGGAACGTCTAGAAGACTTGGAATATAAAATTTGCATTATTTTGATAGTGGCATGATAAGATTCTAAAATTATTCAAATAATATAATAAAAAAAAAATAGCATAAAATTTAGCGTATCATATAAAGTGATAGTTTCAAGAGTGTAAAGTGTCACCATACAATCATCTTTTGCATCCTAAAATAATAGCCATAAATTTTGTGAAATAATGACTCCGAACTTAAAGGTAAATATTTTTTAAGAGTAGTTGGAGTGATGCTAATCTTCTCGGTATCGTTTCAATTTTATTTGGAAATGATACAACATGTCTCATATTCAACTTAACACGGTGGGAGAGCTGATCGACTATGCAACAAAACAGGGCATACATAGGAAGAAGATGAATGTAGGGATGTCAACGGGGGCAAACGGGAGCGGAAATAGGTGCCCCCGCCCCCGCCCCCGAAATCAGCTTTTGCCCCCGCTCCCGCTCCCGCCCCCGGTTCCCCCGTTTACACAGCCCCCGCTCCCGCCCCGGTTACCTCCATCGCCCCCGCTCCCGCCCCCGCTCCCCCGGTTCCCCGGCTTAAAATTAGATTTTTTTTTTTTTGCTAAAAAGCTGCTTTGTTTATGGCAAATCTATCTATTTATTTAGGCAAACAGCAAGCATCAATAAAATGATTAAACATTCTCACTAGAGGTTGCAAACATCAAGCTTTCTACAAAATTTGATCAAGCATTCTTACTTGTAGCTAATTAATTAATAGAAACAATATAAATGATTAAGATACAATATATGAAATTAAGAAACGTGGAAAAGATTAATTGCAAGCATCGAGTTCTATAGCAGTATTCTACAAACTTATACTTAATTCATTGATAACATACAATATATGAAATTACGAAACCTGGAAAAGATTAATTGCAAGCAGCAGAAATCAGTGGGAGTGATAAACAGAAATCGGTGAGAGTGAGAAGCAGAAATCGGTGAGAGTGAGAATTTAGAAGCAGAAATTGAAAGCAACAGAAATTGATAGCAGCAACAGGTGGTATTTACCGTCAATTGTGGAAGGCTTCGGCAGTGGTGAGCCGGTGACGGAAGAAAGCCGAAGTCGCAGCCTCGCAGGTAGCCCGTGGGAGTTGGAGATTGGAGAAGTTGC